GTGTGATGTTGCTAGCCAGCAAGGCTGGAGGGAGACTCTGAGCAAAGCTACACTGCTCACCAGGATGGGGGTGGTATAAAGGTGTATGACAGGAAGAGAAAGTTTCCTGGCTGGGGAAGGGGTGGTGGGTAGGAAGAAGGAAACAGTCTGCAAAGTCCAGAACACCATCCAGAGCCCAAAAGAATCTAAGTTGGAGATTAGACACATCCAAAGAGAATTTGGAATATTTTGTAGAGGGGAGACATTTCTCTGGGATTTTGGACAGGAGTTTTCTGTAAGATGTATAGAGTGATTTTCTAAGATTTTTGTATGGGAGTTTCCTATTGCATCTTATTTAATACCTGTGCTGCTCATTCGTGCTTTTGATGTAAAGTTAATACTTTATTTATTGGAAAGAAGGAAGCTGCTGTGTTCTTCAGCAAAATTAGTGGGAGATGAAAAGAGAAGGCTGTGGGGAAAGCGACATGAGTTGTTTGTGTAATTATAGCATTCATTTTATGTTGATTTCTCTACTTGATCCATGAGGATTGGGATTGAGTCTTTGGCTAGCATATTCCCAGAGCCTGGCACCAAGTGGGCATATAACATGTTCAAATGTTTGTTGGATGAATATATAAATGAATGGCACAGCTCCATTCTGATCCCCAACTGAACTAAAGTCTAGAAGACCATATTCCTTTGTCCCTTTTCTCAGGGTCTTCAGGGAACAATAGAAATGATGATTGGAGAATGATGAGTCTAGCATCAGAGCTTTTAGCGATATTCTCTTAGAAGAACCCCTCTTCAGCCCTACTAAGGTGGTGCTGTTGGCTGAATACATAGCTGGAACTCCAGCTACAAGAAATAATAAGGGCCATCAAGATGCCCATTTCATCTGTCATGGAAGAGGCCAATCTGATTTCCATAAGTATTGAAGTCACAACATTGCTAGGTATTTTGCATGCTGATTCATACAGAAAAAACAACAAAGCTCTGCTTCAAGAATGCATCCATTCTTTTTCTGTTTACTCTCTGGGAACTTCTATTGTAAAAACGAATTGAACTCCAGTTGTACTCAATCATGACACTTAGGAAGAAATGTAAAGTATTTGCAGTTGCAACAACCTTCAATTTTTTCCTTTAGATTAAAAGGAAACATATTAAATTGAAAGGGAAACTCTGCAGGCTTTGTGGTATCACTAAAAGAAAATGGTAATTTGAATCAGGAATGTGGGTTGAAGGCCTAGCCCAACCACTTACTAGGCTCATGAACTTGGAAAAATAAATTGAATGCTTGGAGCTTCCTTTTCCTGATTTCACAATACAGGAATATTAATATGATTACACTGAAGTAGAGAGATTGGGTCTGGCCAGCGCCATATTGGCCACATAGTGGATAGTAGGGTCTGGCATCTTGTTTTCCTGGGGTGGGGAGGAGGTGAAGCCCTCAGCTTCCAGTCATGCCCAGATCACAGGAGACGGGCGGGGACTTGTCCAGTGCCTGGGACTCCAGCTTCCTGTGACCCTGCCCCCTGCCCTGACCCTATTTAGGCCCAGACCAGTTCAGGTGCCCTTATGCCATGCCACGTGTCTCCAAGTTCACGTCCTGTCTCCTGTCTCTTCTCCCGTCACCATGGCATCCCACTTTAGCTCTCCATTGGAGCTGAAGTGGTTTGCTGGTATTGATTTTGTTCTTTCTATCCTCTCTGGCCTTTATGGCTCAGTTTTCTAACAGTGTTAGGTGTATTTGTTCGCTGCAGTCTTTGGGCCAGGAGTCCACCATGCAGTCGCCTGCCTTTTAATAAAGACTCCAAGATTTGCCCTCTCAAAATGTGGCTTCTCTTCTTTTCTCACTGTACAACAGTACATGTGACATTTTGGTGAGATGTAGCTGTTTTGGTTCACCCATTTTTACGCTTATACTTTTGATCATTTAAATTTACTTTCAAGCAGTATATATGTAAGAATCCTTAACTCATTCCTATATCTCACTCCAATGCTGGACCAGCATCTTAGTTCATCAGGTACCCAAATCTGGGTAATTTATAAAGAAAATAAAGTTATTTCTCGCAGTACTGAAGGTTCTGCCAAGATTAAGTATAGGTCTGGCAATTGAGGAGGGTCTATTCATAGAAGGTGGGAGGGCAAGGGAGAAGGAGAAAGAAAAAGGGGTCAAATTCCCCTTTTTACAATAAAAATTTTAACATTTTAATTGCTTTTAAATATGGAATACTTCACGAATTTCTGAGTCTTCCTGTACAGGAGTGATGCAATCTGTATCATTCCAATTTTACTATGTGTGCTGCCAAAGCAAGCACAAATTCCCTTTTATAATGAACCCACCACCCCCATGATAATGCACCTACTTCAGTGATGATTTCATTAATTCATTTATTCTACTTACCTAATCACCTCTTATTAGTCCCTACATCCAAACACTATTGAGTGACCTATTTTTTTTTTTTGAAGAAGACATCCAAACCATAGCATCCACAGGTTAAAGATAGATCAAAGCCATTGATATTTATTACACACAGAACTTCACAGTTAAGGTCAAAAGTCATCACTGCTGAAACACAAAACAAAACAAAAAGAACAGCAACAACTTTCATATGTAGTGAGATAATTTGTTCAAATTAGATGTTTTGTTTAGGGAATTATATTGACAGACTTTTTGGGAGTAAGCCTGATCTGAAAGAAAGGAGAAAATAGAGAGTCAGACGGAGAGAAATAGAAAAGGCTACATTCTTTGAAAATAAATGTGTGCAATTGTGGACTTTCTTGGAGGCATGTCAGAAGACAGAAGGCAAATGGTTCAGATCTAAGAAAAAGGAAACAATAAAAGAGAAAGGGAGTTACTCAAAGTGGTAACAAGCTGAATCCTGAAAGACAAAAGTAGTTGGGAAACTGTAGGTAAGAGGAGGACTCCAGAGTCCTGGGATTACAAACATGGTGGAAATAAGGACACTAGGTCTAACCATATTGGCCACATGGTAGATGATAGGGAATTGGGTTTAACAGTGGCTATCTTGTCTTCACAGTGGAGGAAGGTCAAGTCCCACCTCCCAGGTGACTGGTGTGCCTGAATTCCTAGAGGCAGGGGCTGGAACTTTGACAATAGGTTACTGGACCTGTCAGTCTTGGGTCATGGACTCTCATGCTCCCTGTGACCCTGCCCACCTAATCAGGACCCTATGTAGGCCCCAGACCAGCTCAGGCCCTTTTACCCCATGTCTTGTATCTTATGTCTCCTGTCTCCTGGCTCTCCTCCAGTTACCATGGCATCGCACTTCAATTCCCCATTGGAGTTGATCTGGTTTGTTGGTATTGTTTTTCTGCTCTTTCTTTCCTCTCCTGCTGTCATGGATCAGTTTTCTAAGTGTTAAATGTATTTGAGGGGCAGGTCTTTGGGAGAGGAGTCTACTTGCATTTGCAGCTTTCCAACTCCCGATTCGACCTCTCAAAATGTGTCTTCCCTGTTTTCTTACAATCGGGATCAGAGCCACCATGACAAGCTATTACTTTTTAATTTAAATCATAGCACTAAGCTCCCCGAGAGCACAACAATATCTGATTCATTCTTTCGCCTAACTTCTCACACAGAGTGTGAAGTTAGTAAATAAGTGTGAAATATATAAAAGAAACCTTAGGCTAAAAGCCAGGAGAAAGCAGCTTTCTGGGCTTCTCACCAGAGCCCAGTTTTTTAAAGGGTAGATAGGAGATCATCAATTCAGTATTTGTTACGCGCAATGCAACACTGAAATGGCTTTTCAAAAAATAAGAATGACCTAATTTCTTCACTGTAGGATTATAGTAGTTAATTAAACAGGAAAGGGCCCCAATGCCCATCTGTAACCCTGAATGTTTGCTCCCCAACCCTGCTTGAAGTTTGGGAAATGAAGGTATAAAAGTTATCAAGCCTCCAGAAAAATCTCAGTATTCCACTGAAGCCCGAACCCTCCCTAAGACTCTGCTGAGGCCTTCCTGCATGCCCACAGCATTGAGATAAAAACTCTTTGTTTCCCTCCCCAACACACACAATTTCCTCAACTCTCTCACAGCCTATCATCTTATCTCACACACCACATGATCCTGGTGACTGTCCTCATTTCCCATACTTCTCTGTTCCTTGCCCCACGTCAGAAGACTAGGCCTTCTGCCTTTCAAAAGCCATCTTGCCTGTGGTCAAGATTTGAAGTCTTAATTTCCATGTATCCAGTCTTGCTCCTTCCCTCCTGTATCATCCCTTCTCAAAGGCTGACTTGTTTATCTACTTGTTTTCCCACAGCAAATTCAAGCTGGAGTGGATTTGTGGGCTAAGCTTTCAGGCAACATGCGCACACAGAGTTGACACGGGCATGACACATGCAATAGAACTACTAGATAAGATATTCACACTTTAAAAAAAAAACTAATGCTTGTTGCCACTGAATGGTAGAAAGAGTAGTGATCAGGGAAAGTTAATTTTCCACCTTTAATATTTTTAGAGTATCTCTTTCTTTTTTCTTTTTTCCTTTGAGAGACAATTCATATTCCATAAAATCCACTAGTGCACAGCCATAGTCTTCACTTCTTGCTTATGCAGGACTTTAAGATCTATTAGTGGTAAAGGGTGGGGTGAGGCCTTCCTATATCTATCTTGGTCATAAACACAACTCTGAGTGTGTGTGCCACTTCACACCCATGTATGGACTTTCAGACATCAGGGGTTTGTAAGACCTTTGCATAGCTCCTTAAGGACATCTCATTTCTCATTTTATAATGAGATTAAATATTTTGGATAAGCTTCTTGTCAGCCCCAACCACTACTGCTGTCTTAGGCACTGTGGTTTTAAGTCATTGTCATTGATCTGATTGTTTTCAACATATACTTCCAGGGCAAAGTCTGCAAAATGAAAGAGCTCTGAGTCATGTCAAATGAAGACATACCCTCGGATTGTCCTTTCTAGACTTACCAAACAGGCTGAATGATGACAATTGTCTGAGATAGATGCGTTGAGGGCAACCCAAACCCATTCTACTGCTTCCACTGGTTGCCAAGATGCTGGTTTTCACTGTTTGCTGGACCTTCCTTCAAGACTTCCATGGAGCTTGACAGGGGCATGGGAAACACTAAAGCACCACAAATCTTGCTGTTATAAATGAAACTTAACCATTGAATAAATGGTTGAAAACTTCAGCCTTGAATAAAAATTGCTTGGATTGTGACTTTCATCAAGTTCCAGAGTTAGGAACACATTGGGTGTTTTGGTTGTTGTTTGTTTTATTTTTTTACAACTTTTGCTAGTATTTTTGTTGCTTGCATGGAGGAACATGTTTTTGAAAATTCTTACTCCACAATTCCTGCTGATACACCATTCCTGCTGATACACCATTCCTGCTGATACGCCATTCCTGCTGATCCAGCCTTCAGCTGCTGCACCACCTGCTCGAGCTTCTCCAGTGCATCCAGGCAGATGTCAGGGCAGGGAGTGAAGCTAAAGTACATCAGCACCCAGTGGCCTTACATTGAGGTTTGCCTCTATGATCCAGCAGGCCGAAGTCACTCTGGCCCATAGCAGCCTGGCATAGGGCTTCTGTCTGCTGTAGCGGCTGCCCCCATCTCTGCTTCTTCTCTGCTTTTACAGCAAGCCAGGCCCAGCCAGCCCCAAACAGAACAGTGATCAGCAGTCAGGTTTGCAGCTTAGGGCCTTGGAGTAACCCCTGACAATGCTCTGGACCTCATACCTAGGGCCTCACCTCCCTAGGTCCTAGGAAGGATATGGGGCTTGTGCTGAGAGAGCCTGAGCCAAATCTTGAAGCCCTGAGCCAGCAGCAATATGGACCCAATGCTCCTGGAAAAGAACAAAGATGTCAACAGAAGAAAAGAGGTACTTGGGCCCTTGCCACTAAGGAGACCTGCTGTACGCTCAGGCTTGCCAGCTATCTGCACCTGCACACAGGATCTAAGGTCTGCTTCACCTCTGAAACATCAAGTTCCAGCTTAAGCAGCACCAAATGTCTACAGGCCTGTCCTTTAACCTGGGTTCTTCAGTCTGACTCGGCTTGTGCTTGCATCCGCACCTAGGAAGCTATGCCCCTGTCCTCGATGGCTAGAAGCATTTTCAGCATGTCTTACTCCTGAGCGCACATATCTATCTGCAATAAATGTATTTGTTAAAGTGAGGTTGAAAAAAATACTATTAGCTGGTGTTATGGCTCAAGTGGTACAGCGTGAGCCAAACAATGAAAGCAAGTGTGAGGCCCTGCGTTCAAGCCCTAGTACTGAAGTAAGGAGGCCAGGTCTGGCCGGCGCCATATTGGCCACATGGTGGATGGTAGGGTCTGGCATCTTGTCTTCATGCTGGGGGAAGAACACCCCCCTGCCCCCCATCACCTGCCTCTCAGGTGATGGACGTGCCTGGACCCCTGGAGGCAGGGGCAGGAACTTGGCTGATAGGTTACTGAATCTGTCAGTCCAGTGCCTGGGACTGGGAATTTTCTTAGGATCTGCCCCCTGCATGGACTTATTTAGGCCCCAGACCAGCCTAGCCATTGGACTCCATGCCACATGTGTCTCTGTGATTGTGTCCTGTGTCCTGTCTCCTGGCTCATCTCTAGTCATCATGGAGTCCCAATTCAGGTCTCCATTGGAGCTGAACTGGCTTGTTGGCATTGTTCTTGTTTTTTCCTCTTTAGCATGTTTCCTAGCTGTGTTATGTGTATTTACGTGCTATAGGCCTTTGTAACAACTGGCAGCCTGCAGCCTGTTAACTGTATAATAAAGACCCCAATGTTCTATATATTAAGATGTGGCTTCTGGAATGATTTACCTTACAATAGTACCACCAGTTTTTTTCTTAACCTGCAACATATGTAATTTAAATACAACAAATAATCTTAAAAATAAATGAATAAAAACATGGCAAATGTCAGACAGGCTCTAGAACCTATGTATATTATTTATTTTTCTATACAGCTTGAGAGGAGAAAACTCTTATTCCTGGAAAAGCACCTGTAGACCCACACATTCCACACATAAGATTTTCAGGTAAAATACAGGATGCCCAGTTAAAGTTAAATTTCAGTAAAGGAAAATAATATTTTAACATAAATATGCCATATGTAATGAAGTGTTTATACTATAATTTCTTGTTATTTTCCTGTAATTCAGATTCAACAAGATATTCTGTTTTTGTAGTTGCTGATGAGCTGATCATTTTTACTATATCTTGCCACTCTGTCTATAATTCTAGCTCTGGAAATAACAGCAAAGTCTCCCCTTCCATGTTGTAGTCTTCTGGAATGTTCTCCTAGAATCTCTCAATTCTCAGCTGAAGCCATGGTGGAAGAAGAGAGCCAATGATTACACGTTTTCCTAAAGGTAGATGTGTTTCCTGTTAGGTAAATTAAATCAGCAGCTGAGGAAAGCAAGCACCACATGGTACTCAGGCAGGAAAAGAAGTTTATTTACCAAACTGTTGCCCAATCTTTTTATCTACCTAAAGATGGAATATGAAGGATTGACTCCTGCCTTATTCCCCCAGGTCAAGCAAAGCAACAGGTATGCTCTTGTGCTTGTCTGCAGGAAGGTCATTCTGACCTTGGCTCCCAGGAGACAATGGCTCCTCACCCTAGGTGGAGCTTTCCACTCTGGGCCTGGCCAAGGACACTGCCCTTGGCCCCCAAGAGTTCATGGCCTATTAATTTTCTGCTTCTTTATTAAGTCCTATATGAGCCCACCCCCAAATTCAGTAACTTGTACAACCTTCAAACCCGCAGGAAGTTCTGTGCCCTTCGCCAGCAATAACTAGTCCTAACCTGTTGATATTGAGTCTAGTCTATTCCTTTTCCATTCCTATTTGGTTCTCCTCTATTTTCCTAACAGTCTCAATATCTGTTCACACCCCCAAAAGCACCACATCCTGGCTATCTTTCTTGGGAGATCCCTTTGCTTGGAAAGCCACATTCTCCAAAGTTCTAGAGGTTCATCTCCTCTTTGCCTTTGATTCTCAAATTTTGCTATTCTCAGATCTGTACTTATGAGACACAGCACAATCACCATCTTTATTCTGTGCTAGAAAAGGAGATATATCAACTCAAGATAAATAGTTCTGACTCTGTATATATACATATGTGATCTATATTTTGAGGTCTATCTATCATCTATCTATCTATCTTTCTATCTATCTATCTATCTATCTATCTATCTATCTATCTATCTATGGAAACAGAGATAGAGAGGCAGAGACAGTCATACTTAACCAGGAAACTCTTTATTTTTATTTTGGATTTTTTTTTTTGTCAATTGTAGGGCTTGAACTCTAGGCCTTGGTGCTACCCCTGAGCTCTTCAGCTCATGGCAAGTGCTCTACCACTTGAGCCACAGTGCCACTTCTAGTGGAGATGAGTCTCATGGACTTTCCTGCCCAGGCTGGATTTGAACCACATTCCTCAGATCTCAGCCTCCTGTGTAACTAGGATTACAAGCTTGAGCCACTGGCGCCCGGCTTTAGAAATTTTAAGTGGTTAACTGAAAGAATCCATCACATCCATCCCAGGATGTCCTCTGCCTGCGGAAGCAGGCAGGCACAGGAGAAAGATTATTACAAGGTTTATTAGAGGAGCCATATTTGCCCCAGAGAGAGAACACATGGCAGCCTCCACTCTCTGGGTAGCAGCAAGATCTGGGGGATAGGAAGTGAGGTAGATGGGAGTTCAGGTGGGTCTGGGCGGAGAGAGGGAGGGGCCAGCTGTAAGGCAGGAACTCCAGGGCAGGGAGGAGCTCAGGTCTGGGTGGAGCTGAGGACCAAAGGTGGGCCTAATGCTTACATAAACACTACTACAAGTATGTATTCCTTAAAAATTTTAAATTGAAATACACAATACATTCAAGAAAGCACAGACATCATTAATGTGCAACTTAAAATCTCACAAATAAATATTGAATTATTAGCACAGCTTTCTCGGAATTCATAAATTCTCTTAGAGGTCAGATTTCCTTCTCAGACTCCAGGAATCCTTTAATCTATTATTTTCTGAATCATATGTTAACTGCCAAATGGCAATTTGTTTTGAATAATTCTATGTTGAGCTCAGGACCTCACGCTTGGTAGGTAAGCATTCTACCACCTATGCCACATTCCTAGCCTTTGTTTACTTTATTTGTCAGATAGGTCTTACGCCTTTTACCCAGACAACTTTGGACTGCCATCTCCTACCTTTGCCTCCCAAGGAGCTGGGCTTATAGGCATGTACCTCCATGCTTGGCTTGTTTTTAAGTGAATGTCTCACTAACTTTTTGCTTGGGCTGACCTCCAGTAACATTCCTCCCATCTCCACCTCTCAAGTATTAAGATTTGCAAGAGAGAAGTACCACAGGCTGTCTTAGTTCAATGAATTTTGAGTAATAATAATGCCTCGCATTGATTTGTAATGTATAGAATTAGCTCCACAGGTTGTCCTTGGACCATCCAATCTGGATTCTAACTAGTTCAATAGAGAATTATTCCCATGTTCCCTTTAGCTCTGGAATTGTTTTCATTCTAATGAGAAATAAGGCATAACCATGCATTTGGGCCAACCATAAAATGTTCCTACATTTTTCTAGTGCCAATCTCTCTTCTTTTCCCAATATTATACACAGACTGTTTCTGATGCAAGCAATTTCCCAACACTTATTGCTTATTTAAAAAGGAGCTAACGGCTGCAATCTAGTTGTACTCTTGGACAGTAATAGTTCTAAGTCTTTTCGTTTTATTTCTTAAAGTATTGTTGCTTTGCAAAATTAACCAGAAAATCAGCATCATGAAATGTAATGATTCCAACAAATCTTTCACAACACAGCATCTCATGTCATCTCTTTTTTTCTCAAGAGAAACATTTTTAATTAAAATATGCATCAAGAGATTTTTGTCCTGAACTTTTCAAGAGGATTTTTTGTTTTGTTTTATTTTATTCATGTACCCCACATTTCATTCTGTTCTTCTAGTCTTAGATTCTTCACACCTAGTAGAATAATGATGATCAGGAATTGAATTATTGACACACTATCTGGGTATTCTGCATTTTAAATTGAACCCAAAGTTTTACCCAATTTCTACTGTAATATAACTTCTTTTGAAATCGGAATGGAAGAAGAACCCAAGGGATAGAACATTTTCAGCACAGCAATGCAGATACTTCTTTGCTGTTGTTCACAATTCATTATATGCTTTCTAGGCAGGAACAAATTTCTTTCAGAGTTCCTTGCCTAAAGAGGTTTATTCTAAAATCGGGGGAGCCTTTGCTTCAGTAATAGAGATTTTTCTAAAGACTTATGTTGTTTGTTAAGTTCATCATCCCTAGCTAAACCAAGAATGCGTTTCCTATACAGAAGTTGTATTTGTTTCAATCCTTTCAAGAGCAAAAATACTTTCTATATTGTCTCACCCATCAGGAGTCCAGATGCTGAAATGTAAGCACATCTGTAGTAATTGCCAGCTCTGTGTCTTGTAGTTGTTGTATGGGAACTCATTTGCAAGAAACAGAGAAGCCACATTTTGAGAGGTTGAATCGGGAGTCTTGATTAGAAAGTTGGCCACTGCAGGTGGAATTTTGTCACAAAGACCTGCAGCCTCTTGATACACTTAACATTGTTAGAAAACTGAGCCATGAGAGCAGGAGAGGAAACAAAGAGCAGAAAATGTCAACAAACCAGAGCAGCTCCAATGGGGAGCTGACGTAAGACACCATGGTGACTGGAGGACAGCCAGGAGACAGAAGACATGAGACATGAGGCCTGGCATCATGGTGCCTGAGCTAGTCTGGGCCTAAATAGGGTCCTGGTCAGGAGGCAGGGTCACAGGGAGCTTGAGAGTTCATTATCCAAGACTGGCAGGTCCAGTAACC